TTAATTGGCACAGGCTTAAAACATCAGTTTTTGCTGACTTTCAGAGCTAAGTTTGAAGGGAGAGTAGGGTTTCTCATCTTTCCTTATACAACATACATCCAAGATGATACATTCACAACCTGTGAATGCAACATCAGTTTTAATTTTCTGCAAACAAACTGACTGTTTCTGGCTTAAATTCCTCCCTGACTTTTTACAGCAAAAGCAAAATTCCCACATGCTTCCTTTTCTTAAGCTGTTATTTAGCGATTTCCCTATAACATTTATGAAGTCTAATTAATTAATTGTGAGGTCTTTCTTAATTAGGAAAGGATTAAACATGCATTTTGTCCCTATCACAAGCCCTGGGTGAGAGTTTACAAAGGAGCAAAACAGGATTTGCCGGGCATTATGCACACAATGTTTTGCAAACATGAATGTTGCCTTTGAGAATTAGGAAAGTTGGTTAAAACAGAGAAAACTATGGAACCAAAAATGAGAGACATTTCCTCCAAAATGACCTTAAAGGATGAGAAAGTTCAGCCTTTCATCAGCCTGAGAATTCCATCCCCCATGAGCTGTTCAAAACCAAGAAAGCGAAGTCCAAAACACAAATATAACTCTTCCTTCAGTCTGTTTAAAAAGAACACAAAATACAGACAAACAAGAACACACCAGACTACCCCAGTTTGTTTCTTTTCAAAATTATTTATTCAGAAGCTGCTGAGGCTTCTAATTTAGTGGAATTTCACAATTAACCCTGACAAGAGACTGATCTTATCACCTTATCTAGTACGAGACTTTCCCAAGTTCACCCAAGGCAGCAGATGCATTCCCAGCTTGCACTCGACTGATCTGACCAGCAGGACCTCTTCCCTTCCCCAGCGACCTACCACGAGGAAGAGGAGGAGACACCTGGCAAATACAAATCGCCATGGGACAAAGCCAAGGGAGAAACTGAGTGCTTCCCTCTAAGGAGTGGCATGGAAGAGGCTTGGGGCGGTTTAAAAGAAATGTTGAAGAGGGAAAAAGGATCTGGATCCCCATCATGCCGAACAAGCCACGCTGGCTATCAGCCACCAAAATTATTTGTTTTAGTTACCACTTAAAATAAACATAGCTAATTCCCACATACATTTCCAGAATTTATTGCCCAATTACAATAAATACTATTATTCAGTATATTTTTAGACGAGGGAACAGAGTTATAATGGGAACCCAAGAGCTTTGGTCACCACTGTATGCTTTTTCCCAGTTTGCCTTATGCAACCATCTCGCAGCATCTCCACAAGCAGCACTTCCAGCTACTGGACAAGTCTCCCTGTGATACTGCCTGGAAGACACCAGAAAGAGAAATTTTACATACCACAGCCACTCAGCTCCAAGAGCTAAACCAGAGTCATCATGCTAATAAGCTGACTGCTATATATCCTATTAACACATGCCTCCAGAAAGCCTCAAAATGTATTAGCACAGAATACCTTTAATCTGAAGACTCAAGGCAATAGAAAAAGAAAAGAAAACCTCTATCTGAAAAAAGCGTATAGCAAAAAGATAAGCTGAAAGAGCTACTCATTTTGTATGAAACTACAGAATAAATCTATATTCACCAACACGAGCTGGAAACAACTTTGCTGCAGAAGACGGGGGGAAGGAGAGCGTTCCTGGGAGGCCAGCTCTAGCAACGCTTTTTCAGGCAACCTTTTTACCGCAGCAGAGCTGAAAGCCAGGATCAACTTGGATTAGGATCCGAAGCCTGGAGCTGCCTGCTGGAAGCAGGGTCCGGACAAGACATCCAGCAATGTCCCTCTGACCCGAGGTGCCCTGCGATGGTAGCGCTGTCCCACGTGCACTGGGCACCTGCAGGAATATATATGCTATTTAACGCCACGTGGTCAGTCTCCTCTCCCAGCGACCGACCTGAGCAACCTTGGCTGCTGCTGCGGGAAGGTTCGATTTTCCAGTGTGAACAACCCGAGCCCTGTGAACACGCTTCACGCCAGCCCACAGCTGAAGGCATGCCTGTACAGTCCTTTGCAGGCAGACACGAACTCAGCCGAGGAGAAGCTGAGGGATGTGTCCTGCCCCTCTGTTACAGCAAGAGCCAGCCGAAACACTCGTTGCCTGTGGAGGACTCTGGATGCATTCCCCGCATGCTTCCTTGCACACGTAATGCAGCGGTGGCACAGACTCATCACAGCACCTCATGCAACAGCAAGGAGGGGATGGGAGCAGCCCCAACTCCCTCGATGGAAATCCAGCACAGGCCCTCTCACTCCGCAGCTCCCTGCAACAATCTGGTTTTGAGGCTGTACGAGCCAGAGAGGGCAAGAGCCCTGCGGCAGGGTGCTCCATGGGAACCTCTCTCTAGCTGTCTGACATCTCTGGAATTTCATGTGTGTGGGAGACGGACGCTTTTTGGCTTCACAAAGGAATCTGAACATCTAAACAAAGTGGTGCCTCCACAACCCTGACCCCACGGGCCCTGGTCAGCCCGCAAGCCGAGACCAGCGACTAGGCATGTATCCGAGAAGCCTGCGGTTCTCACTGACACTGTTCTGCTCCAACCCTCTGAAAATCTCCACTGTCACCCCATTTTGGAGGGTGCTGATTCCCTGTCTGGCTCCACCTTTCGCATCCAAATGTCACAAGTCAGAGGCGAGCAGGGCCACTTACGCCAGAGAAGAGGCTCTGGAAGGAAAGCACATGGCTGGGACTGAGGATTTTTTTTCCCTCACTTGAGCTGCTCTGGGAGCAGAGATGGGCTTCTCCTACCCATCTGACATTTTTACAAAACATGAATAGAAATGCAAAGCTTCAGGTATAAACCCAGAGCTCGCTGCAGCTATACAGATGTGGGGAAGGGGAGAAACAAGCAGGCTGTGCCTGAATGCACAGGCCCCACCTCATCAAAACACAAATATGGGACAGGACAACATTATTTCTAAGGGTTGCAGCTAATTTAAAACAAGCAGGGCAGCGTCTCCCATCCACAGCCTGAAACGGGCCCAGGACACTTTCTGAATAATCAAAGTTAATCACGTAGATATGCCCCTGCCCCACACAGGCGGGGTGGAAACAGTGTGCCCATGCCCTGCACATCTCCCTCAGTCCCGTGGCCTCCCAGATTCCTCCTCTTAATTGCACAACCCAGGAAAAGCCAATTCAGCATCATGCCATTTCTTCCCCTCCCAACCTCCGAGCCGAAGGAGCACGAGAAGGAAAGGAGACAAGCACGACCGTCGCCCCTGCAGACAGACAAACAGCCCAGTCCCCGGAGCACTTCGCTTGCACGGTGGTGCCTCGAGACAACTGGACTGGGGACAGCGGGGGCACCCGGAGACAGGGCTGCGTCTCTCCCTGCAGCTGGTGACAGCACTGGTATTCTGCTACAGAAGATAATATTTAGGGAGCTTCTGGCCTTCCAGCAACACTGGAGACTGGCTGACAGCTGCCACCACAGCACTGACGACGAGCCCTGACACCATGCTGGCCTCCTGAAAGAGAGTTATTCTTCAGGCTTTCATTTGTTTTGCTGATGCAGAGGGCACACACAGCTTCAGCATTCGCCAGCTCACGTCCTTCCACCCACCGCCTCGGCGCTTGCTGCGATTACGAGCAGTTAAGAGCAGCTCTGGAGCTCCCACGCAGAACAACATGTTGCATCTCTGCTGCAAGAGGAAGAGACACTCCGGATTCACCGAGAGCAACAGCATCACAGCGGCAAAGAGCTGGGGGGGGGGCGGGGGAGCGGAACATACAAAAAAATCTTTTTCTGGGCAACATTTGTTCCCAGCACATACATTCAAAATAAGCGTTTAACTGCGACGGACTGTAGTTGAGCTAACTGGTCCTGTGGTTGAAACAGTCAGAGCTGGCTTCCTGTATGAGCACAGGCGAGCCTCCCGGGGAGGGACTGCAGGGCTCGGAGAGGCAACCACCAATTTGTCTCCTTCAGTGGAAGACCATTTTCCCCATCCCTCCTCCCCAAAAAAGTATACGGTACAGGCAGAAGAGCTGGCCAGGGCAGGGAGGGAAAGGGCTGCTCCCGCTGGGCTCGCTTCCTGGTGCACGTTACCAGCTTGGAGAAAAATCTGTCACTTCTGTTCCACACTGCATGGGGGATCACTTGAGTTTTTCCAGGCTAAAGGTAAAATAATTGAATGACAAAAACAGACAAGGAAATTTAACCCTGGAACTTCCAAACGGTGCTGCTCGCTGGGCAAAAAACAGGGCAGGGCGAATAGCCAAATCCAAACAAACCCCAGTTTCCACTGGAATTGAGCCATGGAAACGTTTTCCTTGAGAGTTTGTAAGAAAATGTAAGCCTGTGCTTAGGACCTGCAGTGATAAGTCTTCTGGCAACCGCTCTGCCCTAGCCACGGTACACAGAGCTCTTCTCAGCCCACTTCTCATGCCCATCTTTCACGGACTAAGGTATAATGCTGGCCCCTTCACACACGGAGGAGCAGATTTAGGCTGTGCAGTCAATAAGAGAAAACACGAGCTTACAGAAAACAGCAGCAGCAGAAATGCATGAAGTTTATCGCAGCCCAGGCAGTTATGGCAGGAACAGGCACGGTGCAAAGGTCCCTCTCCTCCCACAGAGCTGGGAGCAGGTCACAAGGCGGCAGCGGTGTGTAATGTAAACAGGTAACGCTCACACAAAGCTGCCAAACTGGCCAGACCCCCCCCAGCTCAAACAAAAAAAAAATCCCATTGTCTATTTCCAGTGAGGAAGATGTTGTTCAGCTTTCCTCTGATAAAGGTATAAAGTGGTGTTTTTTCTGGCAAGATCTTCCAAGGGGCATCAATTTATAGTAAAGCTACCAGTAAAAGCCTAGCTATCAATCACTAACATGAAGGGACATCTCAGGACTGCAGGTAGACAGCCACCCCGCAACCACAGCTCACACACAGCTACGTGCACGCAGCCAGTACTCTCTTCACTGGGCCCTGATGTTCACAAATCCCTTGTCCACACACAAAGCAATCAGCCATGACATTTTCATTACGGCATAATGTTAAATTCCTACCTCAGCCCAACCTTAAGGCTGAAGGCACCTGCTCCTCCTCACATGCCCGCATCTGAGAGCACGCAGCTGCTTAGTTTAGAGCCCAAGGAACTGCCTTTGCACCTCCAAGTAAGACAATGGGTTAACGTGGATAGTTAGGTGACAGCATTTCAGGAGGTCGATGGGTTTTATTTAAAAAGAGGAAAAAGCAACAGGTTTGGGGGGTTGAAAAAGCTTCTCAAAAGCAAAACAGTCTTACAGTCTCGGTCTCACATCTCATCCCATTTATTCTCCTACACATCTCCAGTAGCTTCTCCATCACTTCTTCTCCTTCCAGCTTTTCTAGCTTCCTCCAGAGCTTCTGTATTTCCCTGCTGCATTTCACGCACTTTCTGGCTTCCGCTTGCACGTGGTGGTTGGGCTGTTTCCCGCTCAACATACCAACATCTTTGCTAATACTGCCAGTGTCTGCCTCAGCACACAGTCATCACGTGCTAGCTCAGCACTGGCCAGAACAGGCAATGGAGAAGCTCTGAGTTTTGATGACATATTAAAGTATTTCATAATTGAATGAAATTTCATCAGTTTTCTTTCCACTCTGGCGGTAACTGTAACGAAGACAACTGGCCTAGGGTATCTAGAAGCGATGCCTGCAGACCCAGCCCTGAACACGGCAGTGGTGAGCCACATTCCCACGGCAGATCAGCAGAAAACTTCAGTCTCCAGGGGCCGAAGCCAATCTCTCTCACAAGCATTACATTCACAAAAACAAAGGCGGTCTTGAGCACCGCTGGTGTGATTCTGCTGCCTTAGAGGCAGCTTTCTATGGGCGAGCTTCCTTTCATTTGCTTTTGTTGGTCATTTCCAACAGCAGCACTTCAAGGGAACTTTATTGTGCTGGAGACAGAGGCATTCTGGAGGACTGTACAAGGGAAGCATGCATCTGGGGAGTTTTGAAAACACATTATCCAAACCTAAGTGTCACTACATTCCAGGATGTCAGTGTCAGCTGGACACTTATAAATAGCTTCACCAATCTGAATAGCATGACCTAGTATATATCAAAAACCTCCTTCAGAGGTTTTTTCGACATTACTTCCCACTGCAGATACAAACAGCTGGTAAAAATAAATGAATTTATCATCACCTCCTCTTGGCAGTAATGAGCTACTCCCACCTAGACTTTATGCTCAGGAAACTGAGGCATGGTGATATAAAGTGGCACCAAGAAAGCCTGCAGAACGAACAACTCAGAACACCTTAATCATGTGGTTTCCATGATTCTGCTGGAGGAACAGCATCAGAGCCGAGACATGCGCTGAGGATAACGGAAACAACAGCTGGGACAGTCCTCTGCCCCCTACATCAAATGGAAACGAGATGTTGCTCTCCCACCCGCTTCTGCCAGATCCGTGGTTCCAGGAGAAAGGCAAACTAGTCCAAAGGCAAAGATCAGCAGATCACCAGATCTACTGGGCCTGCAGATCCCTATAAACTCACCCTAGCTCCCTGCACAAAAGTAAGCAGATTTTCTCCTAATGAAGCTGGGCACTGAAGTCATGTTGGAGCCCAGCCATTTCACTTTGGTGCCCAAATGACAGCCAAGCACCTTCGGGAAATTCCACCCCCCCACACCCCCCTTTATTTTTTAAATAAAAGTGACAGAGTATTGACGCAAGTACCCCAAGCATTCAAGTACCCACACCAAAGAATGCAAGATTAAGCTTTATTTTCTCCCAGGCTAGGCAATATCTTAGGTTCCTGTAACACCTATGAAAACCTGCACAGGCACCAGCAGGCACATCAAATGAACATTAAAAGTGTTTTTATATGATACAAATGCAGAAGGAAGTGCAGCGACACAGTTACGGTGTTTCCACTCCCTGCCACTGAGGCTTTACCTTGATCCCCTCTCCCCAGAGTCTAGGAACACTTGCTTTCTTAAATAAGAGCCCACAATCGATTTTCCTTTATGCAAGTTTTAAGTGAGTTACAGTCTTGCAAATTCATTCTTGAGCTGGAAACTTTTGGATTCAAAGAAACGAAGCAGAGTTCGAGATTCTTGGCAAAAAGCAGTTTACAGAGAAAACAGTAGCAGGGACTTGTTTGTGCTCAAACGGCATGCCTATAATTCAGACAACCACCACTGCTGTTCCCATTTATTTAGCAATATCGCACCAGACATTTTTGACTTTGGAGAGCTATGCTTTTTAACGTGCTAAAAACGTTTTTAGCTCTGAAAGGCTGCAAGATGCATCACCGAGCTATTTAATCAGAACAGCCTTCCAACAACAACAAAAAATTCTAGCCTTAGACAAAGAATAGTTTTAAGCCGACACAGATTTTAGCCAGATTGACTTCCGATAGCAGTTATACAACATGTGCTGCAGAGAGGCAGCGGTGCACAGGTCACGCTCCATATTTGCCGTACAGCATTCTTCATACATCGGCTCAGAGCGCAGTTAGCCTCAAGGGTTTGCTTTACCCGTGTTTGAATCAGTGTCTCTCTCACGGTATTATATACACGCCGTTAAGTTACTCACTGTTTCAGTGTTTGGATACCAGTGGTATGTAAACAATTCTTATTTAGGAAGGGCTGACCCCATTTCTTTCCGTCCCTCGTTGCGGGGTACTTTACGCCTGCAGACAGGCGGACATCGGCTACCTTTCGTGAGCACCTCGGACATCCGAGGAGGGGTCACGAAACGCTCTCCTTACCGGTTTCGGCATCAGACCAAGCACCGAGGCCTCGGAGCCTTCCAGCCCGCCGTACCCTCCGGCGCAAGGCGGGACCTTCCCGCAAGGACTCTCCCCGCGCCCTGCCGACGCCGGGGGCACCGGCTTCGCCCCTCTCCCAA